GGCAACAAATTCTATTTTTAAAAAATGCAAACAGTTTGGTTTGCTTTCTCGGGGTGGGACACTCCATACCATTTTTCATAGTGACTTCACCACTCTGCATTTCCAATGGCAGTGCACTGAGGTTCCCTTTCTCCACATCCTCACCAGCACTTGTTGTCTGCTGAGTTATTGATGGGAACCATTCTGGCAAGTGGGAGGTAATACCTCCTGTCGACCCAGTGACCCCACTTCTAGGAATATATCCTAAGAAGCCTGAAACACCAATCAGAAAGAATATATGTACCCCCATGTTTGTAGCAGCACTATTTACAGTAGCTAAGATCAGGAAACAGCCCAAGTGTCCATCAGTAGATGAATGGATAAAAAAGCAGTGGTACATATACACAATGGAGTACTATGCAGCTGGAAGAAAGAAAGATCTCTTATCCTTTGAGATGACATGGAGGGACCTGGAAAGTATAATCCTAAGCAAAACAAGCCAGTTAGAAAAAGACAATATATGTGTTTCACTTATATGTGGAATCTAATGAACAAAACAAACTGACAAACAAAAATATCCAGAGGCAGGGAAGCAGGGAACAGACTGACAGATCTCAGGGGGAAGGGGGTGGGGTGGGTAGAGATTAACCAAAGAATTTACATGCATATATCCATAATCCATGGACACAGACAAAAGTGTGGTGAAGGCCTCGTGTGGGCGGGAACTTGGCAGAGGGAGCAATGGGGGAAAAATGGGGGACAACATCTGTAATACTCTCAACAATAAAGAATACCAAAAAAAAAAAAAAAAAAGCGAACAAACAGGAAAAAACCTGCTTGATTATTTGCAGATCATTAACATTTTTATTTTACTCCAACTACATTTTCCCCACAGAGTTACAGATTTGAATTGGAGCCTTTTAATTTAAAAGTGTATCTCTACAACCCATGGGCATTCGGTTCTAAAAGGCAAGAACATTTCTATAACAAAATAAACACTGCATTTGGACAATAATACTCAAGCAAACCTGTATCTCTGTGACATGCGTTAAGAAAAAAACACTTTATTTGTTCTTAACTCTGTCAAAATGATAGATATTTCTTTTAAAAATTAAAAGTAACCTCTTCTCAAGTCTTTGTCGCTTTTTTCTCGGTGTTCTCATTCTGTTTTGGTCCTTTTTCCCTGATGTGGCCCCTGTGATGCTAAACAAAGAGTGAACACAGAGAGAGGATCTGGTTTAATACAGAGCAATTTTTGAAAAGGTGCTTATTTTCTCCCTTTTAACTGCCATCTGAGCCCTGTTTAAAGATCATAATGATATTACATAAGTATTTGGAGGGGGACACTGAAATGAAATGGGAATGTGGCAGTTTCAGTTTAAACTGTCCATTTCTGACCTGGACTCTTTTTAAAAGCTTCAAGGGTACTTAATCATTGTGATTGGCTTAATGATCCTTGCTAAGTCACTTTTTTTCTTGACCTGTATGTGAGAAGATCAATAAGTTGCAAGAAGCAAAAAAATAAAAAAAAAAAAGGGTGGATGGTGGTGATACTGACAAAAAGTATTTATCTTTATAATGTTTACATACTTATTTTAAAACTCGATCACCTTTAAATTATCTTATAAATCTTTGTTTTTCTATGATTATACAGATAAATGTACCATAAATTATATTTTTATGTGATTATTTTAGAACAAGCATCTTTGGGAGCTAGCATAGTCGAGTACAGTGCGCAAGCATATTGGTTTAGAAATTGGACAGCAGCAATTCATATTTCCTCTTAGATCTATTACCTTGGGCAAAGCAAGATAGTTAATGTCTTTGTGTATCAATTTCTTCACCTATAAAATGAGGATAATTGTGGTACTTGTCTCAGCAAGTTGTAATGAGATTGAATAAGATACGCCTTGTAAACATAATACAATGTCAGGCATACAGGAAGCACTTAATATTTGCTATCACATTAGCTATTTTTTATCTTCTCTTTCTAAAAATCTTAAATAAATCTGTGTACGACTGTGCTGTTTTCCCACAGATCAGCTGAGAGAGATGATTTCTACCTGGCAGACATAGACACTGCATTTTTTCCTTCTAGAGAAATGGAGGGATTTCTCATGCAGGATTTTGGCTGATGATGTTATGTTTCTGGAGTACCTTTGGAATTTCTCCCTTGAAGAGGAGGCTGTTTAGTTGAAAAGACAAGACTGTGATCCAGCACTAAATGTATTAGACTAAATGCTGTGTACCTGATGATGACCTTGGATAAACACTTGATTTCTCTATGCCATAACTTTTACCATCTATAAAATATGATTTTCCATTCTATCTCAGGAGCTGGAAGATAGGAGTAAAAATTATTTGTGATTCATTATGAGCTATGGAAGCTAGAAACTATAGTATTGTTCAATTATGAACTACCAGATAACTCTTTTATCAACTTCACATAGAAGTGATAGGCAGGAATAGTGTAGTGATAGATAATCAGATTACAGGATTAGCTTGTTTGGAAGTAAACATCAGCAATTGGTATCTTAGTAGTAGTCATGATGTCCCCATAGTCAAAGTTTATTTACTTATTTATTTTTTGCACAATAATTTCTGTTAAAATACTCCTGACTTTTGAGAAATAAAGTTTCTTTGGTTTAAAGCCCTCTGCTTTTAAATAACCCTGTGTTTAAATAGATTATATACACCCAAGAGTTTTGTTTTCTTTTGGTAAAAAGTGAATTCAGTCAAGGTGACCAGCCTCGACACACCCGGTAAGAGGTTTTTGCCCCGTGTCCTCATTAGTCCAAGGACCTGTTTGCATCGAACTCCGTGTTCGGTCCAGCAAAAGCAACAGCAGCAGCAACACACCCAGACATCTTGACTGAAATCCATGCCAGAGTCGCCACTAAGGTGGCTGATCAGGCTAATGACGTTTTCAGTGTGGATCCTCCCCAATTACCATCTAGTCCCAAGCTTGCTGCCCACTCCCCTTGAAACCTGCATATGTCCTGCATATGCGGACGGTGGGGGGCACTGTTGGGAAGGAGCACTATTCTGCCACGTTGCCCATTAGGTACCTCTCTCTCTGTATTTAATGAGGTCAGTTGGGCGTCTACAGCTTTTACCTTTTGCTAAGGCTCCCTACCCAGGAGAGAAATCCTTCGCTAAGACACACACACACACACACACACACACACACACACACACACACACACGAGAACAGACCCGCATGCACACGCATATATACCGCACACACTCTCAGGAAAACACCCACGCATAAAAAAATCACACCTTCCATCATCTTCCAGTAACACGCACTCTTACTGTTCACTACAGCACTAAGCGCGCGTGTACACACACACACACACACACACACACACACACACACACGCTCCCTGGGAGAATCACAAGATGCCACGTACCCGGAGAGTCGGAACCCTTCCTATGCTGCAGATTTGCACCCACTCACCGCGCACGCCTTAGAGACGCTCGCTCGCAGTGTGCCCACTTCCCAGAGCGGACTCGGTTCAGATGCAACCGCCTCGTTCCCGAGCCAGCAGCTCCACCTTGGAGCCGGGGACAAAGCGGGCCAGGGTGTTTGTGCGGTGTATGGGACGGGAGGCATCATTTGTAGGCAGTGTGGAGAGCTACAAACTCAAATTGGACAGTACTCTGACTAAGTCCTGTAAATAGATGCTAATCTCCCTGATTGCCTTCAGCATGCAAATGGAGCCCGAAGCCCTGGCAATGATCTATTCCAGCGCTGTAGCCCCCCTCGCCTCCTGAAATGGGATCGGCTCCCCGAAAAGGTCAGATCACCAATCAGGCGCCTCGTCTAAGAAACCTGTTGGTTATAAGATCTAGGAAAGGACCAGCTGAAAAAAATAGAAGATTAGGTTATTGACACACAGCAAAAAAGCTCCTTGGGCTTGGGACGCAGCTCCCTGACACCAGATGAGGGGAAAGGGGTCCCTCGCAGACCGGAAAGAGAAGCAGGTGAGTTAGCCGCGGCCAGTAGATGGCGCGAGAGCTCTTCCTTTGTAAGATCTTAACCCTTTTAGCGGTGTGTGGGGCTGCCAAGTCCAGACCTATAGATACATACATACATATCCCGTTTTGAAAGAAACCTCCTATTTACATATTCGGCACAGATTCGGAATTAAGATAAATTAGTCTGTTCTAGATAACTACCACCGATAAAGTAGTTTAACTGCGGCACACATCAGCTGAAAAGGGGGTAGGGCTGAGGAAAGGGCGAACTATTTGGAGAAATGACTCTGCCTCCCCACCCCACCTCCGCCCTGGTCTCTGATTCTCTGATGAAATCGGTGTACAGAATCATAAAAATCCGGTTCCCTGCTTACACGTAGGCATTTGAATATGTAAATACACGTGTGCAAATAAATTCTTCTTTGTGATCTCCTTTTTCGATTAAATCACAGGATAATAAATGCGAGGCGCCCGCCTGAAATATGCTGCAACTACAGTAGTAACACATGTCCCATTATAACGACGTGGGCATCGATGGAGCCCAATTCATTTTCATCACGGTTTCTCCAAAAGCAATACAGATCCTCTGATTAAAATATTCCTTTAACATGCTTCTGTATTCACAGGCTGCAATGGAGAGCTCACTAACATAATATTTCTTGGGCTGCTTTTACAGGCAGAATTGATCTATTCGGGGGAGAGAGGAAAAAAAAAAACACAAGCCCTTGAATTTCAAATATTGTGGGGAGTTTGTCAGAGAGCCGAGCTGGGCTTTAAGAGGCTCACTAGTGGTTTCTGGTGGTTGCTATAAGGAGCTAGAATTGAGGTAGATTTTGGCGGAGGGGGAAAAACGCACAAGAAAAGACAGAATCCAGAGTACGGAGACTTTGTGCCCCCATTGGAGAGATGGTTGAGTCCTCGTCAAGGTTGCTGTGGTATCCCAGAAACACCATTCACTCCGAGCTGTGACCGCGCACCAACAACAGCAACAACTCCACTGCGCCGGGCTGAGGAGCAGAAATTAGGAGCTCGCGAATAATATGCAAGGGATCCGCAAAGGGGAAAGCCGAGCAAAGGAATCCAAACCCCGGGAGCCTGGCAGGAGAAGATGCGCTAAATGTGGCCGCCTAGACTTCATCCTGATGAAGAAAATGGGGTTTAAAAGTGGATTTACGTTTTGGAACCTCGTCTTTTTATTGATGGTGTCTTGTGTGAAAGGTAGGTCTGCTTTTGGGGGGTCCCCTCTGCTTTGGATGGAGGCGAGCTGACTTGTCACTAGAGAGAGGCTGGTAGGTTACTTTGTAATTTGCACTGATAAAATAATCATAATAATACTGAAGAAGGAGTTTATTCACAGCTCTCTCCACCTCCTCCTCAGATAGGAAATGCCTTTTGCTTGCCAGATTTGGCGTTCAATGCAGTGATTGAGCTTGTGCTCAATAAATATTCTTGCAGTATGCTCAAACGAAGACGTGAGTTGGTTCTTATAGCCTCTCTAACTAGTGGATATCCAGGCAGAATTCCTCTGCAAGACTTTTCTTGGTGGTGGGGATTACCTTGATTTCTAGTCAAACCAGTAGGATTTGATGCCTTGGTTGGAATATTTTTATTAAAGACACTACTGTAAATGCTTTGTTAACCCTTTTAGGTAGGAAAGTTACCGACATGCTAGAAATGTGATTATTTTAAATGCATTAGGGCACAGAGGTCTACCAAGCATCCCCCCACCTACATAAATGCTTCATGCATATGTGAATAAATTCTATGTGGGTTCTTCTCCATTGGTAAATGGTAGGGGAGCTTCCCTGGGTCCTGTGGTAGAGGTTTGGCTTAAAATGAGGCTTTACAATGATCTGAGACACCTTGAAGTATAAAGATCCACCTTTGGGGATGAATGAAGGTAGGAGGAAAGTCATTAGCTGACGACCAAAAAGAAAATCCCCAGTAAGTCTCAGCGTTCAGACAGGTAGAGTGAGTGTCACATGCACAGACAAGGGGAGGTGGTGGGTGGGATGTAAAATTTGTTCCTAAACAGGAAGGCAAGGGACAGTCAGGATCATTAGAAGGAGAACTGTCCTCCAGGAGAAAATAGATCCCTAGCTCTATTCCACAACTTATCCTGCACCCTGCTGCCCATTAATTGCTGCAAAGAATACTCAGGAGGTGTTTATGACTCATGTCATCATTTTTGAACAATCACCCCCCCCCCCCCCATACTCATGTCAGCTCTAATAGACCCGATGGATCTCGCTTTCAGTGAAGCTAGTTTCAAATCCTGGGTGTCTGTGTGTCAGGGGTAGGCGGTGTGTGTGTATGGGGGGTGGGGGTGTCTTGGCCCAGGCACGCCAAGGCTGTCAACACAAACTGGACGCTTCTTCCTTTGTGAAGGAGTGCCTCTCTGAACCGCAATCGGCCCGCGTCTCTATGAAACAGTTTATTGTCCAGCTTGCAGCTGGCTGTCCCCCCCCAGAAGGCAGCCCATTGGCATTCAGTGGAAATGATAATTCATGTTTTGGGTGGAGGGAGCTGGGTTACCTCTCCCTCTATTAAGACCCATGATGGGTGGCACGTCTTGAATTTTAATTTACATCTCTAAACGCCAAGAAGTTGCCCCTGGTCTCTTTGGCAGCAACATCCCTGTAATCTCAACCTGCTCCTTAAAGCTCGATTCCCCCTCCCCTTCCCTCCACCCTGGACCCTCAGCGCTGCTCTGTGCCAAACCGCTTGTTCTAAGCTGCATAACTACACTGACTAGGGCACAAAACGCCCCTCGGGTTGCTTACACGGGGTTTCGTCGGCGATCCAAAGTGTGAGGAGCCTCACATTTATGCTTAGTTCGCCTGCCACTGGGAGTCGTTCGTTAATGGATGGCCCTGGGGCTGCCTGCTGGTCGCGCGCTTGGCGTGGGGGAGGCGCAGGGAGCCAGCGACATCTCCTCGCAGGGAAAATGTTGGGGTGGCTCCTGCTAAAGGAAGACCCCGGGTTAAGCGCGAGTTTTCCTGTGATACCTGTTGAGCCAAAACACACTGGGGGGGCAGGTGGGGGGAGGGAGTCTCCGAAGCAGAGAGAGCAAGGCAGCCTGACATACACTGAGACACGCCGCCTGCAAATACAGCCCCGCTGCCCGCACCTACCGTATTTTCTGAATAAGACGCGCCTATAGAAAGGAAGGACGCCTTAATTTGCTTTAAATGGCACCAGAAACCGGACCCCTCTCCTCTGTTCACAACTCGAGGACTTTGAACTAAGATAATCAGTCTCCTCTGAGTATATCCAGTTTGGGGGGGGGGGGGGAGCGTTGGGAGAAAGGAGTGTGACACTCTGCTTTGGTCCTGTCCAAAACCAATGTTCTACCGGACCGTTTAAACATGTTTTTAATGGTAATAAGGTTTTTTTATTGTCACCTATCTGCCACTTGGCATCTGCTAAATTTTACAACTTGCAACGCTGACCTCAAATTCTGAGAAACAAACTTAGGCTGTATGCTCTAGACATGCTCCCTATGGTCTGGCGGTGCCAATTTTGACAGTTGCTGCTTCTTCACCTTTTCCCTTCTTATTTTATTTCAATTTCACCTTAGTCTCAAGGCTTTCCTAAAAATGGCATTGCTGAAATGTCATACATGTTGTTTCCCCTAATGTCTATGCCCGCGTCTGTCTTACACACACGGTTTCTTCGGGACTCTCCGGCCCAGGGGAAGCTCACGGTGAGAGTCTTGGAAGGGTTTTGCAGGTCCTAATCCAGGCTAGCTCCAGGGCTCTGGAAGTCCCAGGTGCGCAGCCTTCCAAGTGACCAGCTCTGCCTTGAGATTTCCACCTTGTGTCCACACTTTTCTCCTCTCCACCGTCTCACCTCTGCCTTCGACAGCAATGACAAAGAAGTTCAGTGGGAGGAAATGCCTCAGAGTAGAAGATGTACATAGTGGCCTTCCGTAGTAGGCCTGAACCTCCAGAGTGGGGTTGAAGAGTCAGCCTTCTCTGGGCACTTTATCTCCACTGTCATCATCTAAAATAAAAGGCACTGGAGGGCAGAAAAATAGGGGGGGAGGGGAGCAGGGGCTGCTTAGACCTGATGCTTGCCTCTTTCAAACTGAAACACACACACACACACACACACACACACACACACAGGTTTCTGAAATGCAGTCTGCAGCTGCAGCAGCAGCGTGTCTGTTTAGGTCTCACTCAGATAGAAACTGAATCTCCAAGTCGTGCTTGAACGTCCCGCCCACGTAAACAGACGCTCTGAGGGTGCTTTCCCATACTGTGTCTCCTGGGATCCCGGGGAGCACACACCCTGTGCACCGAAGGCACAGAATCAGTGACCTCGGTCAACAGCAAATGGGAGCCAGTGTACTGGTCCTGAACCCTGCGCCAGGGCGTGCTTCTGGGGTTTCTTTTAGGACTCCGGACTTCCAGAAGGATCCATGTTTCTGCGTGCTCTGGAACTCCAAGGAGTCTTACCCCCACCACAAAGCTCTTCTGCAAGACGGAGGCCCACACCCTCTCCCCCAGTTAATTACAACTGGAAAGGGTCTTGTCTCAGGTGGCCACATGGTGGGAGAGCTTCACGACCTTCCACTCAGCTTGGGGTGGCCACACCAGGGGGTCCCTGAGACTGATACCCTCACTCCCCGCCCCCAAGACGACAGTCTGACCTGACGAGTTAGGAAAATGAGCTTTTCAAAGAGGGTGGGTGAATGTCTTTGCAAACAATAACAGCAAACAAAAAACCCCCCACCCTTCCCTTGAGGTTTGCAAGACTGAGACACCTGGGAGGTGACCTTTGTGTTTGAGTCAGGGGTCCCTGTCCTGCCGCAGTTTGGACAGGTATTTCTCCCTTCTATTTTTTCTGGGAGTATTTATTCATTTCTTTTAGAAGGACAGACTCCCTGACATTTCCGAGGACCGCGGAGGTTAAAACTGAGTGTCTGACTTGGACCCCGGTGTGTGCCCGCGTTCGTGTGCGTGTGTGCGTGTGTGTGTGTGTGTGTGTGTGTGTGCAGAAAGAGGAGGTCCACATGGATTGACATGGAGGGTGAGGGGAGGGAGGTCCGAGGAGGAAACGGGAGGCAGGTAGCAGTGCGTGTCTGTTCCCTGGACTGGAGATGGTGGTGAGCTGCGGCCACTGCTGTCAAACGATCTGGCTGAGGCGCCAAGAGCTCCCTTTGCCGAGCTGCCGTCTCAGAACAACTTCACTGTAATCGGCGCTGGGGAGTTGGAAAACCTCACGGGGTACCAGCAGCGGGATTGCTGCTCCCCTGTGATCACCCGCATCCCCACCCCAGCCCTGTCGTTGAAAGGCAAGCAGGGGGCCAGACCCAGGCTCCCAGCGCCGCAGTGGCTGAGCTGGACCCGCGAGGAGAGGGCGGAACAAGTGAAACGGCGCAGGGTCGCCGGGTCGAGCGCGGCCCTCTCCGGGTCCGGGCGGAGCGGCCAGCTGGAGGCCGAGCGCTGGGGCGCAGGGATTGCAGCGCACTGCAGGATAGGAATGGAGCAGGACGCCCAGAGAAAGACAGACCCGTCCGGCATCCGGCGGAGTCCCTTCTCCTTGAACAGGGCGCCCTCCGGGAGGCTTTGCACGGCGGAGCTGCCAAGCCAGCCCAATTCACCGCCCTGGGAGGGCTTCACGGCGCCCAGCGTTCTGAGCCGAACTTGCCCAGAACAGTTACCTTGTTGAAATTGTCCTGAAATGTCATTTTGCAGCACCGTATTTTCCCTATTCTTCTGAGGTTGAGGGGTTGGGGAGGGCGTGCGTGCGTGTGTGTGTGTGTGTGTGTGTGTATTGCGCGCACGCGTATGTGTACACACACACACACACATATACACGCGCGCGCACGCGTGCCCCCCAGTGTAGCAAAACTGTGTGAGCAGAAATAATTAAGGAGCAGGTTTCTGCCTCTTGAAAACCTGATACTAGCTCCTTTGAGATCCTTCAAAGAGAAAGGTAGTGTAATTACTCAATATATTAAGTACTCCAGGAGCATCGACTTAGTTGCAGTAGTTATTACTGTTCATGATATTAGTTGGAGTTACTCTTTGTGAGGTAACTGGATATATTTGGGGTATACATGTCTTTCCCCTGAACACACAAGTTGGTTTCTACAGAAACAGTGAAATAATACAATGAAGCAGGAACTAATGGCATCTATACATAGTTCTAAATATAGTAAAAGTAAAACTATTATAAGAGATCTGAGAAAACAAAAAGGTAAGAGA